AGGTTAACAAAGATTTTATACATACATACAATTGGAAAGACTGGTGATTTTAAATTTTAAACTACGGGCAGTGTAGCAGCTACGTAAGAATACACACCTGATGATGGCCATTTAGGGCCGAAACATGTAGTGTGGAGGAAGGGAGGAAGAAAGAACTACAATAAAATTGTTGCACTTAAGACGGAGTTTGTCTCATATATATTGTGTGAATGTAACAGGATGCTTAAATATAATATTACCGAATATCACATAATTTTAGTTATAAAATTACACATATGAAAATTTGTTCTCAGTACCTGAGATAGTTGAAATGAGGTGATACATGCATGAGGTAGGTAGCAAATACATTCTATTTCATTGATGTAGCATCTATCGTTTTCTCTCTCTCTCTCTCATATATATATATACATACATACATACGGTATTTATGCTTTTGCGAAATTAAAATCATCGTTGGTACAAAGTTTATATTATTTTGAGTACGATAGTTTGAATTCTTGCTCTATCATGGCTACTTATAAATATCCGGTTCTCTACGGTATTATGAAAATATTTTTGTTCAAATTAACAGTATGGAACTGTTTACCTCCTTTACTTTTCTAATATCCGGATAAGGAATGGGACTTTCGTGGTTATCTCGCATTACTGTCTTACTAACCGTTTGTAGTGCAATCTGGTGGTTATTGTATAAATGTAGCATGTAGCAAAAATGGCAGGAGGATTATACTCATCTAGAGGAAAGTATGTTTTTGGGATGTGTTAATTTAACTGAATATGAAATCATGACTGAAAAGCTATTGTACGATTATAAGTTCTACTGTCGTAAACGAGATATTTGTAGTGGCATGAAGTCTCATGCATATAGAAAACACTAGTCTGTTTTTGTATCTATTTCTAGTAAGTACTCTTAATTTAATTATGACAGGAGCTGCACGTGAAAGCATATTTTAAAATCATATTTGTCCAGGCTGGTAGTGTTGAAACTTTCTAGCGCTTTTGAAGGACAGAGAATGTGAACAGCCTTAACACCCACAGTTCATAAACATACTTTCAAAAATCTAAAAAAAAAGCCAGTTTTTATCCAGTGCCTGCATCAGAATTGGTAGCACTATACCTCCACTGTCCCATACATCTTCATTGCATGTTGCTTAATTAAGTACAGGGCCAACTTTACCTGTCACAATGCCCATCCTCTGATGACACTTCAATGGAATTCCTTCCTATATGAAGTGAGGCACACATGACTGGAGCCAGTAGGAATATGAAAGACAAGCTCTCATATATCAGCAGCCGCACATAAAATTCTTCACTTCAAGCCACCTACCAAAATGGGCTGAACAACATTCAGAGTGACTCAGTACTGCCCCATTTACCCAATCTCTAGGCATAACCCACAAATCTTTCTGGAATCCTTTCCAAAGCCAGCTTCTAATGCTGGATGGATAGTTGTTCATTAAATTAAACATATCAGAGATTATTTCAGATAATGCTTTCAAAAGGGCAGGTTTGGAATGAGTTCTCATATGGTCAATGATGAAAACCCAATACAGCAAAACCTGGGGACAGATTATGTGGTAAAACATATTTCTACTGCATAAACTACCTGATGATTTTAACAGGACATTCTGTATACCCATGACGTTAGGCTACTAAAGAAGTATGAATTCATAGATTTCCTCAACCCTTATTTTTCAGAGTGTGACAGCATGCAATTCTGTCAGCAGTACTGATCTCTAGGTGTGAATCATGAAATAGCTGAGTTAACAAGGAACTGAAATACCTTTAAACAAAACACAAAGTAAAATCCTGCTCACTACACAAAGATTACACAGATTAAGTTCTGGGCATGGTTGCCATTACTTAACACCGAATGTACTGCCGTCCTCGTGTATGTAAAACAATACCATCTTACCTGTTGTTCTCTGTGGATGTGAAACTTGGTGTCCCATCCTAATGGGAAAACACAGAATGAGGTTGCTGAGGAGAATAATAGGAAGTAACAGGAAAGTCAAGAAATCTTTGTAGTAAGGGGCTTCATAACTTGTACCTTTCAAATCAAGGATACAAAAGGCGTGGCCCACACCACACACGAGAGGAAGGAGAAACTTGCACAAAATTATAGCTGTAAAACCTGCAGGGAATAGACAGCTGCAGATGGGACAAAAAAAAAAGCCATCTGACCTTGTGGTGCTCTCACACCACACCACGCACGCACACAGAACATAAAATATAACCTCCCTTAACAGTGAGCAGCAGGTATTACTGGTACAACTTATATGTGACTAACACTTTAATGCTTTACACAACTGCTGGACTTCATGACACCTAATTCAGAGTACTGCAGGTAACTATATTTGTGTGCCGAGGTGACGGCACATATATTTCACATTTCACTACAATGCTAATGGTATTTGACTGCAGGCAACTTTCTCTCTGATAAGAAAGCGACAGTTGTGTGCGCACTCACGTGTGCGTATGTACGTATGGTAAGCTCAGCGACTATAAACCGAAGGGGCACAGTTCGATTCCAACAAGATGTGCATCATTTCTTTTCATTCCCACATTCAAATTGGCAACCAGACACTGACATCCATTTTCATAGAGATAAAGCAGCCAGAACTTGAAGCTAAAAACTCATCTTCATTTAGTGCTGAGGCTTCACTCCCAGGATCCTACATGCCTTCATGATGTGGTGCAACTCTGAAGATGGGGACAGGAATGTTCCTTTGAAATGCTGGAGATTATCTACCAAACTATACAGGATCTAAAAACTCAAATCTCATTGGCACTTCCACCAAAGTAACAACTTTACTGAACTGATGTTGCAGCTGCATATGTCCCATGTGAGCATTACACTGAATCATTGGAATACAATCAATTTCAACTGCACAGGAAAAGGGGTTAACTTTGAAATGCAGACTTGAGAGAAGTGGAGTGACAGTCATTCATATCCATTTAATGTGTCTTCCAGAGATCTAGGTACATACATATAGAATCCATCATTGTTTATACTAGATAAAATAATAAGATTGGAGACATTTCAAATAAGCAACAGTGTTTATTTAATGACGCTGTCAGGAGGTCAGACTGTATAGTATCAGAAGGTAGGATGATAAGCAAGTAATGAATTTGGAAAGGACGTGGTCTTGGCCCAGTCTGAGGTTCTGTCTTTGTGTCTGACTGGACGGACTGAGGGAACCTCAAAAAACATTCCGTCAGATTAGCCAGTCTCCAAGCATAAGACCTGAACCTAGTAACTTTGAGATACAAAGCTGGTGTGCTACCCACAATTCTGTCTCAAGCAAAAAAAAGGGGGGGGGGGGGGGTTGTAAAGCTATCCTTGTAACAGGCTGTGGAGGCCCATAGCGTTTTGAGATGTTGAGGTTCCCACATTTTATAGACAATTGGCTCATAGATGGCGGCAAGGTTGTCAGCCCTACGTGCCGGCCACCCTTTACCCCCAAGAATATTCCAAGAAGATTCCTGCTACTCATTTCAGTTAGAGGCTGAGTTGACCCCAGGGCCATGGTGCGGCTGGAAGGATTAGGTCAATTGAAAAAAATCCAATGACCTGATCAGGACTTGAACCTGTGACCTTCCAGCTTGTAGAATAGTGGCTGAACCAACTATGCTACCACATGCCCCATTCTGTCTGAAGTCTAATTATTATTATTCAGAATATACACACTTTCATTTATGTGACTTTCATGACTGCCAAATACAATCACATCCTCAGTCTAAGGCATGGAAATGACAATGACAGCACTGGACCCATTTAGCTCTGACCTGTTCATTGCCTCGTTTTATATTCAATACCAAGTTGGCTGGTGTCATACAAATTTCAGAACATAGAGAATCCATTTACATCTCTGAAATACATTAACAGCCTAAATATAATTCTCAAGAGGTAACATATACCACAGATGTGACCTACATGTTTCTGACTGTACCAGGATAGTAATGGCCAGTCATGTGTATGTGCAGTCCAGTTGATCAGGTGTTGTGTCTGCCCATCACTAATATCATTACAACATTGCCAACAACCCTGTAGAACCAGATTTAAAATACCTATTGGTAGCAGAAAAGGGTTAATTCCAGCTTCTCCACAAGCTATGTGATTTGTAGGAGGGGAGGGGACGGAAAGGAGATATATCGCAAATTACAAAATACTGTTATCATATGGGGTGGGGGAACAAGTTTACTGTACCTTGAGCAACATCTCTGCTCCAGTAAGAATATCAGTGTACTCTAGTGTGACAAACCTTCTCAGACATCAGAAGGTGCCAATCGTATGACAGGCTGCCATTCCATCCTCGGCTGCTAGTTCTCGTGTTGTCACTCTAAACACAAATACTCACTGCAGTCAGCAATGATTCTGCATGTCTTTAGCAAAAGCAGACCAGTTGCCCCCTTCTACCAATCTACGTGGCTGTCGGTGAGGAGCAGACAACTGGCACCAACGGACACATACAGACACACAGGGCGGACAGTGAGAAGCTGTAGCGAGTGATTTATGATAACTGAAAGCAAACAGAGGACACAAAACATAAATAACAGAGAAGAATGAATATGTGTCGTAAACAAGGCCAAGGTTCTCAGAGGACCGCAGTCGAGGAACAAGTAAGGTATTCAGAACAGATACTCACCAATCATAATGGCAGCTGCTATCATACATGCCCCGAAGGGGTGTAGGAGAAGAGTACCACCATGACCCACAGATGGAGAAGCACCTGAAACAATCACATCCTATTTCACATGAGAACACAACCAGAGAACTGAAGTTTCCATACACATTCCCCGCGCCCCAGCATTCTGGATGCTCCTGTCTCTTACTGTACTAACTACAGTAGCTCTAGAGTCACTCTCACCTCAACACTTCATGCATCTTCCACGCTGTTATTACTGGTTCTAAAATATTAAAAAGGTCCCAGCTTACGTAACTGATCTCCAATGGCATAATATTTCATCCAAATCTGTCTCTTGGATCATGATTTAAAACACGGAGATGGCCAAACGAGATATAACCTACCCTATATTACTTTAATGCTGGGGGGAAACCATCATAGTAACCAAACAGAATGGCTACCTCATATTTGGGAGGTCCCAGGCTCAAATCTCAGACCACAGACTGGCTACTCAGGCTGAGGTTCATCATAGTTTTCCTCCCTCCAGGCATAGTACCAATAAAATCAACCACAAATGGTTCCTTCTGTATCTTTCCCAATTCAATATTCATTAAACATCACACCATCCAATGGCGAGGTTGAGATGGTTTGGTCAGTACAGTTTTGGTCAGTACAGTGACTGGCTGGATGGCCTGGGTTTGATTCCCGGCAGGGGCAAGCATGCCCTTCCTATAGACTGCAATGAGTTAATCTTACCATATAACAGAGAACAAGAATCCGTGCCAGTGGGTAACGTCGCAGGAACACGCCTGTGCGGATGCTGACAGCATCAAGAGATGAGTATGCACGCTTCACTCGGCGTGTGACACCCGTATCAAAAGGAGACTCCATCAGGAAGCTTGGAACTCTGGCCTTGGCTGCCAAAACATTACATGCTTATCATGACAGAGTACTGGTGTAACTGTGTGGGTAGCTATGTTTCAGCTCGGGTGGGTTGTGGTACTAATGTTGGAAAAAATGCACCTCTCAGCCAGCCGGGCCACATAAATGTGCCACTATAAGAAGGCAATGCATGGCACAGACATCAACAGTGAGCAATGAATAAAAAGAAATAATGACTACCTAAGCACACATGCTCAGAAATCAAGCTGCCATCTTTCGTTTCTTAACTTACTGTAGTTACTGTACTTCAGCAGCATTACTCCCACCTCAAAAATTCATGCATCTGCCAAATTGTTGTTACTGACATTAGGAGATTAATTACTGCTCAAACACATTGCATATACTTTCTCATTAAAGGGTGTACCATTATCTTCCTGAAGACAACACCTATGCAGTTTTCCTTAAGCAGATGGTCTCCATAAATTAATGAAATTTAATCAAGACTGTAGGAGCTGTTTTCAAGATAACAGTAATTTTGTGTTTGGGATCTCCAGTGAGGGCCCCTATTTCTGGAGCTACAACATTCATATTCACTGGCCACTGACCTATGATGAATGAACTTTTAAATGTCTAATATGAATAATATCCATGATGTGTATGTCTTCTAGTGCACACAACAGGATGCTAAAATACAACATTATGATTAATATCCATTAAAACGTTCAGGCACCAGTGAAGTCACGTACAGACAGCACTCCTGAAACCAATTCTTTTTANAAGCAGTAAGCATGAGTTAGTTGTAATGTGGCCGTCGGCGAGTTCAGTTGTAGTCGAGTTAACTTTTAGCCATCCCCGGAGAGTAAAAGTGTATCAGCGCCGAAGACAGTTCTCCAGTCAGCAGCCTATGAGTTGAGGTATAGCAGCGTTCGTGGAAAGAAGAACCGGACATGTGTGTAGTTGTGTAATTGGAAATGTGTGATATAGGGACACTTGTAGACTACTGTGTAGACACGTGTATACTACTGAAGGCAGAGTGAACTGATTTGCAAATAGGGTTATAAATCGTGAAACCCCTCAACAGTGTAAACAGATTATTGCGATTAGGGTTATAAAGTGTGAAACCCCACAACTGTGTGATAATTAATTGTAGCCGTTACTTGTAGGTTGTTGGATAAACCAATTAACAATCTGAACGGCGTCTTCAGTAACCAAAACACGTTACAATATATATTACAAACATGAGAAAGTAAAAAGTACGAATTTGTGGTCGCTTCTAATGGCTTAAGTTACCAGATTTAGCCAAAATCCATGCAGCAGGTCTGGAGATCTCATATTCAACTGTCAATTAAGAGCAAATTAAATTATGCTCAGTACACAGCCATTGCTAACTTTGGATTTCACTCCAGCTTGTAACTACATTAGAGGAAACTCCTCCCAAAGCTCAGATGTTCAACCGTTCAACATCCTGATGCCAGATTGTAGTGGCGCTGCTTACCATCATCCGTGTCATTGACATTTCCTAGCCCACTCTGCATCTGATGTAGCAAAGCCAGCGTGTCACGATGTTTGTTCTGAAACACACGGTTACAGGCTCTTCATACAAGAGTATCAGTCTTCTTCTGGCCTCCTCTGTACACAGCCAACTCCATGGATCTGAGAAATTAACACTATCTACAGAACCAAATGGTTCATTACCATGTTCAAAACAGCCTGCCACTGGTCCCTATCATGAGCCAGATGAATCCAGGTCACACTCTCACAACCTATCATAATCTATTTCCATTTTAATATCATCCTCCCATTCATGTCCATGTCTTTCTAGTGGTCTTTTTCTTTCAAGTTTTCCCACCCAAAGTGTATATGCGCTTCTAGCCCACAATTGTCATATGCCCTGCCAACCTCAACCTCCTTGACTTGATCATTCTAATTATATGTGTCAAGAGATACAAGTTATGAAGCTCCTCATTATGTTGCTTCCGGCCTCCTGTTACTTCCTCCCCATTAGGTCCACACATTCCCCTCAATACTCTGCTACCAACACCCTCAGTCTATGGTCTTCTCTTAATGTGAGTCTCCAAAATACATTCTGTGAACCGACTGAGACACTTTTCATCAACTGTTAACTCCACAAGATAAATCTATTGATTAAAACAGTAATAAAGAAAAGTGCCCAGTATCCATTGGACAGGAGACTGGGTGGATTCCAAAGCCAGTTGAAGGGCTGTACAGAAGAGACAAATCCCTGCCTCCCACAAGGAATCAAACCATGATTCTCTAATCATCCAGCCCATAATCACCACACTGACTACAGCTACCTGCCTCCCTTACTTGGCAGTGATATCAAACAGTTAAATTGCATCTATATCAGCCATCAGCCCTATTTTGTCTAAAACACATCTGAGGGATCGAACAGGCTAGTGTAGTGGCAATGCTTTACACTTCTGTTCATGAGGTATTTGGTTTGAATTTCAGCTGGGATACTAGCTACGAATACTCTGACCGATATTTTTTACTGTTCTCTTCAGTCTCACATGCAAAATGCTGGGACAATACCTTGATTCATTCACAACTGCTTCTTGCCAAATATTTTGAAGTTCACTGTTCACGTATCAACCTATCATCCTTCATTATATAGTCTACACACTGAAAGCACTGTGAAGGAAGAAGTGAGTATGTCACCCCTTGAACAGGTAACTGCTGAGAAGAAAAGTCCTCTGTGATCCAGTATGGCAATTCTTGTTCCCATTATATGTTGAAAATAAATCTAACAATTTTCTAATGATGAAGTAACAACCTATGTCGCTATCTAATGGTGCACCCTCAAACATATTCTAGACACAGTTATAACAACCAATCAAGATATAACTCAGTCACCTCGATCTTCTCAAGCTGCAGGCGGAGAGCATTCTTCTCAGTGGTCACCGTCTCCAGTGAGCTCTGCTTTACGACTAACGTCTGTGTTAGTGCATGTAGACGAGACTCCAGTTCATCACCAGCCAGAGAGGAAGGGCGCTGGGACAACTGGCTTCTCAGTTTGGTGAGCTCAGTCTCACGTTCTCGTACTCTTGATGCTAGTTGTGCCTTCTGCCTCAACAATTCATCCCTCACTGAGCGAAATTCCTGAAGTGACAAATTCACATGTGATGCTGGCTTTCTCTTATGAATTCATGCATCTGCCTCTTCAAAAAAAGCGGTGATCACTGAAGGATCAATCAGGTGGGATAAATCTGCAGTCACAAAAACAGGAATGAGATGAGAGACAAGAACTCTTAGAAGAAAGTAAAAAGGTAAATGTGAGGTAGATTTGTCCTTGTGCTTAATTGAGCACCACATCATAAAGATGTATGTGACAGCAGAAGTACAGCTCCACACATTGGATTTCTGAAGAAAATTAAAAGCTTTTCTATGTGTTTAGCAAGAGCGGCCTCCGTAGTCTAGGGGTAACGTTCCCACCTCATGACTCAAGGTATGCGGGTTCAAACCCGGCAGAGGCCGTGGAATTTTTAAGGGTGGAAAAATTCAGGGAACAACTCATCCGGGAGGGACTTTAAGCCGTGGGTCCCGTGTTGTAGATTTACGGCATGTAAAAGATCCTCATGTCTCTAGAAGACCTCTGAGCAAAATTAGGCAAAAAGTTTCCTGCCCAAGTAGTTTCCAATGCCTCCGGTAGATGGGGAAGTTATCGGGTACCACTGCCAGAAGAGGGTCGACCTCGCTGGCAGAAAGGGGAGATAGCGAGCACCAGTACCGGTAGGGTATGGTGACAGTAGAAATTAAAGGGGGACGTACAACAGACTGTTAGTCACGGTACATGGGGAAACCCACCCCCTCTAATACTGAATACAGAACGTGCTTAGCAAAATTTGACTGAATGGGAAAAATCCAAGCACAAAATTACAGACAGAATCTGAAGAGCCCAGAAAGTTTACCAGACTGCTAAGCGCATTACACTTCCTGCGATCAAGTTCGCAGCTATTCCCCTCTTGCAACCTGCAAACACAAGCCACACTGTGGCACCTGCTCTTCCCCCACAACTCAGTAATGCAGAACTGGCATGAAAATGCCTTTGGACACACCTCAGCATGTGCCCTGCAGTCCTCCTCTGCTGTCTGCCTCTTCCTGCGTTCTTCCTGCAGGCTGTCCTGCAGTAACTGCAGGGATTGGCCAGCTTGCTCCCGCCCGCTCTCCAACCGACACTCCGTCTCCTGAAGCTCATCCCGACTCGCTTTAAGTCTAGCCGACACTTGTGCAATCTCTTCACGTAGAAGCTCCCGCTCTTGTCGCAACTGATCCAGCTCCAACTCCACTGTGTCATCTGCTGGGGTGCTTCGCCCTGCTGAACCTGTAAAATACACACAACAAAATATTACAAGGCACTATATATTTAACAGTAAAAGAATGGGGAAACGAACGTCTGGAAGAACTCATGCTTTCTATTGCCTATGAAATGCTTCAGTGTATGTGGCAAGACTCATGAGAACCACAGAATGACGAGACCGTAAGGCTTCAGTATGTACTGAAGTGCACATAATTTTCATATGCATTCTACTGAACCCAACATTTTGAGCATTCCCAGCTCTTTGCAACAGCTTCTCTTCACAGTAAACTCAGACATTGCAATGTATTCACATCACCAACTCTGCAGTGTACACACATTCCTTAGGCAGAAAATTCATAACAGTAGTTACTACTGCTTACTATTCGCATCTCAATTTCTAAGTAACAAAATCGGCATATTCTTTAAGATTATCATAACACCATTTCGAGATTGTAAGGTAGAAACTGCTCCTGTCACTCCCACCTCACAAGTCTGCATGACAGCCATAGTGTTATTATTGACTATAAGACACAAAAATCCATGAGTCTGGGGTGCTCTCTAATGGCATGATGTTCATATCAAATTTCCACCAGCTCTTCATCCGAAGGTGCACATGGATGGGCAGACAGACATGATCTTCCCATATGTTCATTTTAAGCATACAGCACAGAGAACCTCAAATAACTGTGCAATACAGTGGCTCACTTCTGGGTGTATTTCAATTACTACACATTTAATCTGTGTCATTATTATTTTTTATTATTCTTAGTGGCGTGAGACTTGAGTCATCTTGGTGCTGCGGCCTCTACTGGCCTATTGTACCAGCCCCAGATGATAGATGATGATTGTAGAGCAACTGGTGGAATGAAGATTGGCAGGGGAAACTGAAATATCTGGAGAAAACCTGCTCAAGCACCACTTTGTTCATCATAAATCCCATATGATCAGACCCGAACTGGAATCCAGGCTGCCGCTGTGGGAAGCCAGTGACTAACCACCTGAGCTACGGTGCAGCCCTTCATTGTATGTTAAATCTGATGCCTATTATAGCATGGCACTCATATGAGGGAAAAGAGTATCAGTATAAATATCCCTGGGGAGAACAGTAACTTCCCTGGCCTACATGAAAACCAGACACACTTCCACTCAGCTAACCTTGTCCTCGTAGTTCTGTTATAAGTCGCTCTTTATCCTGCAGAATGCGCTGTGCCCGGACCCTGTACTGGTCAAGCTCGCTGCGGGAGTAGGTCAGCTCTGCACGAGTTCGATCCCACTGCTGCTGCATGTCACGAGCTGCCGTCTTGCTCTGGCTGAGCTGGTCAGCAAAACCTGCTCGCTCCACCTCCAGGCTGGACACCCTGAGTACACAACATTTATCTTCCATGTAACCATCTTATTGCATGAAATCTAAGGTTTTTACAGTTGTTAAGATTCATGTTGTGATCTTCTGGGTAATGAGTCCATGCAGTTCTGAGGCACTAGTATCTACAAGAATACACGGCATCACGTCCCTGAGGACAATACTTTTCATGATCACCACCATAAGAGCATTAAACATCACACTGACAACAATTAATTACAAAGGACATGCAATAACAGTGCTGCAACCCAGTCCAACACAATGTCCTGACATCTGCCTGGAGGGTCTGAGGAAACCCACAGAAGGACCTGTCAGGAAAGCTCATCTCTGGCTCAAAACTTGTAATAAGGATCTCCTGAATATGAACTAAGAATGCTAACCATTCCAAAGTGATATCTGTTTGGTATAATCAACCCTACCTCTTTCCACCAGGTGAGGAGCAAAAATGCATGAAACAGATGCTCTTTTGCCTGATGCGGTAACAGCGAGAATGATGGCCAATGGGTGGAAATCATGGCTACAGACTAAAGGGGTCCTCTCAAGATTCTTGGACTTAACTAAAATGTGGTACGTTACGTTTCCCCTTGGTGGGTTTAATATACTGCAACAATCATTGCACTAAATGGTCCATCGCAGGGCACAAGGGTTAGCAGAGACAACACTGTTAATCCATCTTACTGTAGTGTTTTCTCCGTCATACAGGGGCCGACTGACAAAACATCTCGAATCTCTACTTTCTTCCCATAGCCTTTAGTTTCTGATACCTTGCCACATTTTTCACCTTCTTGATGTGAGCACTTGGCTTCAGTCTGCATACTGGAATGCCAGACCTGACATTGGTTTAAACTACAACTCTGTAAATAACCTGAGGCTTCCAGGCATGTCTGGGCAGGAAGAGAAGCAGGAACCTGTCGCTCACCTCTCCTGCAGTGCCGCCAGCTCCTTGCGGTGGGCTGCCTGTACTGCTTCCAGCTGCTGCTCCTTCTCTGCAAGCTGGTCCTGCAGTTCCTGCAGGGCTTGGCTCTGGTAGCCACTGGAGCTCGTGCAGTCCTGCAGAAGCCTGCAGAACAGCAACAGCACACACTGAGCTGTAGCATTTCTGGGAGGGAGAGAAAGTGAGCAGGGAAGGAAAGACATGGTGAAAGAGGAAACGTTAGAAGAAAAAGGAATTTAACAATGCAAGATCTGATGCTGTCACAGCAGCAACTTTTGTCGAGCTCTTTAAGGATGCTGTCACAATGGAGATCATACAGTGTCAGATGGCAGGACAGCTGATGACCTTGTTTAAATTCTAAACTAAGAACCCCCTGAATACACACCTAGATCCTTACTTGCACACCAATCTATTTGGCAACACTGTGTAGTCATCACATCATGTAGGACGGCCAACTCTCCTCATTGACCCACAGACAGGCTCAGTAACTTGTACCATTCATTTTCTTAGACCCGGTCTCTGAGATGTGCATGAGAAGGAGGGCAATACATACATGACAGTGGCTGCAGCTGCACTATGGAGGGAGGGTGATTCACTGTAACTAAGGCCTTGTTATAACCCACATGCACCTTACAAGCCTTACCCCAGTTAGAGCACTTAATCCAATTCCCATGCTGTTTAAGAATGATGAGGTCTAAAAACAGGGCCAATATTTTCTTAATGGAATTCTTAGCAGGAGGATAAATCTGATGAGTTCAGATAAGATACATTATGTTACATGAAACTTGGATCTGAGACAAAGATTTTAAGACCAAATGACATCAAAGAGAACTATCCAAAATGCACCTCCATGTTATGGGCATTTTTGTTATGAAATCTTGCCCTTATGGGGGAAACAAACAGATGAAAACAAAATTCATGATCTGAAACGCAAATTTGTCCTTATGAAAACCCGATAAAAATATTAAAATATTTTAAACGTGAAATGCATTAACTCAGCCAAATATTAATCTTCTTTAAGAAATTATCTGTCAAAAAATTCAGATCACATATATGGATGTCTCATTAATGCACGAGGGATGGCTGGTATCATGGCTGCAGTCCTCACCTCAGTTAAGGCTGTGGAGCATATTACGCTTATTAAAATGCTCAGAGTGCCAGCAGTGCTCATAAAAAAGCATGGGAAGAGGGCCCATGATTATTTCTGATGTGTCAGAATGAATGTTGCTATTTTAACTGTCATCCAAAATATTTTCTCCACTTGTAACATTAGAATCAAGTGCAGACAGGGTCTCCATTATGGAATTTCATGATATGGATATACTTTCTGGAATATATCCCTTCAGAATGTGGGGGCATCTGTACTCATGGCAGAAGTGAAGAAAATGGGGGCCCTCTCATTATGCAGTTCCACGTGCCCTCAAGACCTCATAATAACGGCAGATACTTGGTAGCATACTGAGCATTCTCGAGCTGGAGTCCCTGCGCCAGGTCCTGGGCTGCAACCGTCTGCTGTCTAACGTCTTGTAGCTCCCTCTCCAATACAGCTACCCGTTCCTCTCGTTCCTTCAGTGACTGCAGCACCTCTTTCTGGTTAATCTGCAGTGTTGCCAACTGCTGATGCAAACTATTATTATCTGCAAGAAATCAACAAATTTTCCTAATCCTTTTAGTACATGGCACTCTTGGTTTGAATCTTGGTGTGGATGTCAGCCTAATCAAGGAATTACCCTGCTATTTGCTTGGAAGGACTGAGGAAAATCATGAGAACCTCAGTCCATGGCCCAGCCAAGATTCAAGCCAAGCACCTCCTACACACAAGTGTAGAGTGTAACAGGTCCAGCAGCCTGCTTGCCGGCAGCATTCTTGGTTTCAGCTATCTCTGCACATGACCAAGTGCATAGTTTGTCGCATGAGACTGTTTCTGCTACATTCTCCAGCAAACAGTGATTGGTGAGGTGGCATAGTCTACGTTCAGTGCGCTTACCTTTAGAGCGATGTAACAGCAGAGACATTTCATTATTCAGGCTCCTCAACTCATTCTTCAGAAAGCCATTCTCAATCCTGAGTTCCTCGATGGAATTGTCCGCTGCAGACGGAACTGGAGTCTGGTTACCAAGTGCCTAGAAGCATTTATTCAGTTCTCAACAGAAGAGTCCATCCTGAGAATGCAGCAGTCCCTCTGCTCCTCAAGGAATGTCCTGCCTTTTACAGAACATGTTCACTAGTGACTGCACTAAGTCTGCTTTTCTTGCTTTATGTGAATGACTTACCAAAGATAGGTAATAATAAGGCTGAAATGATTCTTTATGCAGATGATACTAGTATAATTGTTAAGAGTCTCAACCTAACAGATTTTACTAATTGTGCTAACAAAATTCTTCAAGATACGAAAAACTGGTTTACTACAAATTTGTTATCCCTGAATGAGGATAAAACACAGACATGCAATTTGTAACCAAAAGAAGCTCCCTAATAGACTTACATGTAATGTATAAGAGTAGAGAAATAGCAAATACTAGTAATGTAAAGTTTCTTAGATTGACATTAGATAGCACTTTTTCTTGGAAAAACCATATAGATGCAATTATTCCTAAATTGAGCTCAGCCTGCTTTGCAGTTAGAGCTATTAAGCCATTCCTGTCCCTCGAATCGCTTAAGTCAGTATATTT